TAAGCGAAGGGAAGAAGATGAAGGAAGACAAGAAGATCATGATTATGAAGATGAAGATGATGAGAGAGAGAGAGAGAGAGAGAGAGTTGGTGTAACGAAAGGTGAGCGAGGAAGAGCTGATTGAGCTTGTTAGAGATAATCCAAGATGACTCTTTGGGAATGTACAGTGATTAAGGATGAAGATGAGAGAAAATTTCTCCAAGCCCTAAAAATTGATACCGATGATGATGATGATTATTTTTTACCTTTTCTCTTTCTTTTAGTGACATTTTTGTTCACTCCTTGTACTATCATCTTCATCTTGTTTACATGATGATGATAATGGTCAACATTTTCTGAGCTTTTCTCTCTCTCTCTCTCCTCTCTCTCTCTCTCTCTCTCTCTCTCTCTCTCTCTCTCTCTCTGGTCCACCCACTCATCCGTTTCCAAGAGGATGATGAAGGTGATTAATTGATGATGAATAAATTATCAATTCATTTTTCATTCATTGTAATCCTCATCATGGATTCTCAGACTGACCATTAATTTATTACAACAAAATGGATCATGATAAAGTTATGAAATGTTATTATTATTATTATTTGAGGTAAAAAACTTATTGAAAGGACCACATGAATTGAAATCGACACACCTTGATAAATTATCATCATTGTACTTGAGGTTTCCACTTTTCTCTTTCATCATCCTTATCATCATGTCTTGAATTATATCTTCATCATGATTATTGTTGATCCATTCAATTATTATCATTCTTGTTATTGTTGGTGTTGGTCATTGTTGATAAGTGACCATGAAATTTGAAAACAACTCATCATGATTATGATGAAGATGATAATATATCTGTTCATCCTCATCTTTTGTCATCAATAAGCAAAATATTTTATTTACTTTTTTTTTTGGTCTCTATGAAGATGATTGAATATTTTATTCAATATTTCCTATTATTGTCCATCATCTTGACCATTACATTACGATTATATAATTATGATGATGACCACCATCATCAATATCAATGCCTGACTATTTATCCGGTTACAGTTAGACAATTTTTACTGATGATCATTTTAGGTAAAGGGTAAAGAGCAAGAGAGAACCGTTAATGTTGATGTTTATTTGAATCTCGTCTAGAGCCAATGCATTGGGCATTTAGTACCAATATATGGTGACCCATCGGACTGATCGCTCAGTTTGTACAATTTAGATTCTAATAAATTTACAATTTCATTCAAAATCTTTAGTTTATTTATAATATTTTCTTCGTTCGTTAAATTCAACAAAACTTACCAAGAAACGAAAATGGTTCAAGTTAACTCAATAAGAGTCTCAGTTTTAAGAGTAACAAAAACAACTAAAGTAACTGTTGAACTATCATAATTTTGGTATTAATCTTGATCCGTGTGATGGGATAAACAATAATAACACAAAATTTAATCTTAAATTCTCAGGTAAAGTTAATTAAATTAAAATTTATCATGAGCGGAAAAAACTTTCCTAGTGATGGAATTGTAGTTAAAAATCATTGGGATCAGATGGCGCTGGTTTCACATTTTCGATGGCAAATAAAAGAGGAATTGAAAACGGTGTGTAAAAATTGGACTTTTTAGTTAGAAGTCGAAACTTTGTATATTTGTAGCGCCACTAATGAGAAGTCCAAATATATTTCTATCGGATATGATAAGTAGTTCGAGAGCATCGAGTTCGAAGTTGAAACTTGAGGTCAATTTTTCTCAGCAACGATGAGTTTTCAGATCATGAAATTTTTAATTTAACCGTTTTCTCTTGTTCTTCACTATTTGATTTTAAGTGAATATGATTAGTCAACTATATTTAATGATAATCATAATGATGACCATGAAAAGTGGATGAATGGTCATCATCATTATCATCTTCCTGATGATAATGATGACAAAGCTGTGATATTAGGCTGATCAAACCATCCCATTCCTGTCACAACATTAGTCTTAACCAACCTGTCCATTTTTCTGTGGTCAACCTGATGAAACAAGATATTGATGACCATTGGAGGAGGTTATGGTGGTAAAGTAGGAGGAGGATGACCACATGTTAATATTAATAATCATGTATAAATATACATAAATAATGATAAGTGACCAATGAGAAAGAGGGAGAAAGAGAGAGAGAGTTGATGGTCAAGTGGGACTAACATGATTATCATTAGCAATTCATTTAATCATGATAAAGGTTTGAAATTGTACAAACGGTACAAAAGTAAATCATTAACCTGGAAAACTTGATCAAAATGTAATCACTTGAAAATAGTAAATGAATTATAATGGTCATCATCTGATTATGAGGTTGACCAAGGCTACTACTCAGCTAGCTGACTGTTACCTGACTAGGAGGAGTAAAAGGAGGAAGAGGTAAATGAATTCATGATTAAATTCATTGATTCAGAGGTTCATGGTGATTCAATGAGAGATCAGTAACTTTTTTTTTCTGAAAACATTTATACCTCTTGTTTGATTAATAATGACCAGTTGAAATACCTTTGATTGTAAATGACCATTACTAATTGTTTCCATGTTCAGTTCAACTGATCATTATAAACTAATTAATCAAATACTATAAATCTAATCAGTTTCAGTGATTTAAACCTTAATCATTAAGTAACATACTTGTTTATCTCTCTCCCTCTCTCAATGATTAAGTTAATCAGTCAACACAATCAAGAAGAAAAATTTTTTTCAACTATTAAATGATTACAATTAACTGTTAACCAAATTGTGTTAACTTTTGTTTGTTTTTTGCTGGTCCTCAATTATCCTGATGAATCTTATCCGTTCATGATGGTGATGAATGAAATTTCATCTTAAGATTCATGATGAAAAGATTGAGATCACATTACAAATTTCATGATAATCATTAGTAATTACGGTTGATTACCTTTCCATGAGTTTTACCACCAAGAATAGTGAATGATGATGATGATGATTTTCAGGGAGGAGGATAAATATACATATACATATATAAGTATGTACTTATATGTATGAGAAGGAGGAAAAGGTTATAAGAGAGGGAGGGAAAAATAATCCACTCTGATAGAGATCAGGTTAATCAGAGAGTGGGAAAAGTTGACCAGAGGTAAACTCGAACTGGACTCGAGTTACTGGACATATACCTTGATGAGTGTGTGTGTGTGTCAGTCTGTATATTACCTGGTGAGGTGATTTCAGTTTTATTATTCAGTTAACAGCTTTTAACTTATCATTAAATATCATTTTACTCATGTAGATTCATGAACATTCATGGTACATGATGATAACCACCCTGGAATTATTATTATGTTGACATGCAATGGTTTCCAATGATTAAAAATTAACTTCGTAAGGGTGTTCAGAATAATTTGATGATTACTTTTCATTTACCTTTGATTTAGTTGATTATCTAACCAAAGTTAATTGTCAATTTTTATCACCCTTTATACTAATTTCATGTAATAACCAAGAAATGAGATGTTGATTGTTCATTGATTAATTTATTCAATGATTAAAGGTAAAAACAAGAAACAATTTGCAATAAAAAGTAATTTATTATTAGTCTAATGATGTTAATGATTATCTTTACGATAATTATACTTATTGATTAAAGTTAATTGTGTGATATAGGATTTGTCAATACACTTTAATGATGATAATCAATCTAATTGTTAAATCAATTGGTCTATTTGCAAGTAAAGTGATTACAAATCTCATCTTTTTTTTTTGTTTCTTTGCAATGGTTTTTTTTGTTTCTAAATGACCGGAAGTTGATTTGCAAAACTGTTGACCTTTCCATCAACATCAACATTCAAGTTAATGTAAACACGTTAAGTTGCAATAAATTTAAACAATCAACTTTGCAAATTGACAATTTACCTCGTTGAGGTTTTTTTTTGAAACATTAAGGTGACTTTGAAGAGGCCTCATCATCATCATCATCATCATCAACAACAACAACAACAACAACATTAGCAAAGGTAAAACTTGAGTTAATTGAGACAAAATGTATTCTGGTCAAACATTTACTCAACAAGAAGATGAAAAAAAGTAACAAAGTTTTTTTAACCAACCACTGGACATCCTCATCCTCATCATTTACTTGAAAGGTATCAACTTGATTGCCTTTTGTGTTCATATATATCAATTTAATCTGATTATCAGAACTTTGTTCTGGTCGATTTTGGTTAAGATTTTGTATGATGATGATGATGATGATCAAACCAAGGAAACTACCTTAATGATTCTGGAAACTACATGAAAACATGAAACTAGAAATAAAGTATAACATGGTTTCAATTGTTTTCCAATCTCAAGGGTTTGGGATAACAATTGATGATAATCATGAACATGATGAGCATGTTAGCTGATTATCCATGTGAAAACCAAAGCCTGTTCCTAACCAGAGGTTTTCTCTCCTCCTCCATCACTCACCCTGAAAATCCCTCATCAAGTTTTCCCTTCAAAATTTTGTTCCAATTTTAGTTTTTTTTTTGTATAACTTTTTTTCCCTCCTTCGATTTATTTATCTTTCCCTTTCTTAACCATCCTTCTCCACACCATCACCACCTACAACTACCTCTTCCCCTTCACATCTCTCTCTCTCTCTCTTTGTAGTTTCACTCATTCCACCCGCCGGGCAAAAAAAAACAGAACTCACAACAATTGTAATGCTACAAGATATTGACATTTAATGTAATATATAAAATAACATGTAACTTTATACCTTCCATATCTTTATACATTATTACATGAAGACAATTTTACAAAATTATCCCTATAGGTACAAGTAATGATGATGATGATGAAGATGAGGATGAAGAAGATACTAGTTAATTCAATGAATTTATCATCACTACTATTTGTATTTCTCATCCCATTGTAGCTCAAAGACACTCCCTTGGTAACTTTTGCCTCTCTCCCTCTTCTCTCTCTCTTTCTCTCTCTCTCTTTCTCTCTCTCGTTTTTTTCCATCCTCATCATCTTGCTTGTCTTCTTTCACCGTGTTTATAGGCAGATTAAGTTGAAAGAAGGTGGAGTTTCATACCACTTCCCACCTCCTCCATTTTTGGGTTGGATGAGGTGTCCGCCTTCGAACCTTAGTTGCTAAACAGCGCAGCTAAAAACTTATTGAATCTGCTCCGTCTCACAGTTTCCCGTCATTTTTAGCAGAAAACGATTCAACATTCGCACCTCGTAGGATATTTTCACTCTTTCATCTTCTTTTTTCTCTCTCTCTCTCTCGCTCTCTCTTTTTTTCTCTCTCTCTCTTTCTTTATCCATCTATCTCAGTGTTTACCTTTATTTCTGTGCTATGGCATATCAACAACCATACTTTTTTCGTCCTCCGGATTTTGATTATCGTCAACATCATTATTTCTCAGCATTATCAACCTTAGAATCCCATATTCCAGGATTATTTACTAATTCAGTGAGAGCCGAACAACCAGTGGACGATGATGGAATCGAAGATGATCCAAAAGTGTCACTTGAATCAAAAGATTTATGGGAAAAATTCCACAACCTTGGAACCGAAATGGTCATCACAAAATCGGGAAGGTGAGTGTCCAAAAATTTCTTCAATATATTTACTATTCTCGAGGATAATTATTGTGATTGTTCAATTGGACTCAAGTCTCAGTTTTCCTTTGGAACAAATTTTCCAACAATAAGAGACAATTGTGTTTTTCTTTCTCTTGTTGATTAACTTAACTGTTAATCGGTTAATCTCTATGAGACTCACTCAGTTATTGCAAACTCGTAGAGAGAAAAATTGAAACAAGAAAAAACAATAACATCAATAACCAAGAGAGAGAGAGAGAGAGAGAAATAAATGAGAGGGTTTTAACTTCTAAATCGGTCTATGAGCTCCCATTTCTCGTGATTTAACCTGAGCACGAAGAGAACAAAAAAAAAGATTATAAATTTTGAATGAAATTGTCATCTGATTAAGTCCACTAGCCATTGAGATAAATTCGGAATAGGAAATGTAACCATCATGATCCCATTCAACTCTTTCGATAATTTCATCAAGAACTTCACGAGGAATATCTTCTTCGAGCCTTTCATTTGCTTCCATGATACGACGTCTAAATGCACCGATTGGTATTCTACCATTTCCATCTGTGTCATATTTGTCAAATACTGATTTCCAAATCTACAGGTAGAACACAACAAGTTATAAAGATTGGAAGATGAAGCGGGAGAGAAAATAAAGATAAGTTAAGTAACTAGGAAGATGTTGACGAAGATAAATTAATATAATATTGATTGTGAAGATTTAGAAGGAAATTAGATTTTCGAGGTGTGTTGGTAGATCAAGATTGAAAGAGTAACCAAAATTAGTTAATGTACTTACTAATATGAGAAACATTGGAACCAGAGGTGATAATTGATGGAGGTTTGGGAGATGAAGTTGATGTTGTTGAGTAGATTGATGATGAAGGTGGAGGAGAAGGTGATGAAGAGAAAAATATTTCAGGTGGTGATGAAGATGATGGAAATAGAAGTTGAAACAATTAACCAAAAAAAGAGATACATGAAATGGATCAATTAATATTTAGCTTTTTTTAAGCTTTTTGAGAATTTGAAATTTTCCAATCTCAAGACAAATAGATTTTTAAAATTGGTTTTAAAAAATTACAAGATATTCAACTAATCTAATTGAAGGTTAAGTAGTGAAAGTCATTAAGTAGTTAAAAATAAAATGGATTAAAAAATGTAAACGTAACTAAATTAAATGAAAATGAAAGAAAAAAATTGGACAATTTAATTGTTAGGACAAAGAAAACATTTCAACATTTAAAGAGCGAAATTAGTGAAAATAGTCAAGCCGAACGACTAAACGTCGAGCATTTTGAAAATGATTTGTTTACATTTAGTTGATTCTCTTTGAAGGTGTTTGTTGTTTTCTAAGTGAATTAAAGTGATTCAATCAACAATCGATGAAGACTAGGATTGTATAAGAATCGCAAGAGTTTAACCCTTATTATCGTGGATTCTAATCTGGTGATAGCAATAAGGTTTCCTAATGAGAATCCATTTTTTCCCAAAACCAAATCAACTCACAGACAAGATTAGGATTACGATTCTGTGGATTATGATGTTAAGTTGGTGACTGAATCTTAATTGATATTTGTTAGAAAAACAAAAGATTTATATTGAGAAGATGATATTTACGTTACGTATTTAAGTTTAAGGTTCGAACATGTAAAGTTTTCGATTAACATAATCACCTAATGAACCGACGAAAAGAAACTCACCAAGTCTTTTACCTCTTCTCTTTTAACTTGATTAACATTGAATTTCATTCATGATTAAACATTAGATTTACTCATGGACAGTTAGAGTAGAGCTGAAGACAAGAAGAAATAGAAAAAAAAACTTCCACAGAAACATTAGAATCAAATGCGAAGCTTTTGTTCATTTTCGATGCTCAGTCTTGTTTTTCTTTCGAAATTCTGTTTTTCTATCCTTGTTTCTTTTTTCTCTCTTATCCCACTCTGATCATCATTTTCTTCATCTTCTTAATCATCATCAATTTCTCTTCTTTTTTTCTCAATTCACAAAGAGGATGAATGAGAGAGAGAGAGAGAAATTCATTCAAGTAGCAAACTTGAAATCTTCAGTTATTTCTCCTCAGTGTTGTGGTGGTGATGGAAAAGAGGAAAAGAGAGGGTGAGAGAGTGAGTGAGAGAAAAAGAGAGAGGAAAATAAAGTAAGTGATGATGATGATGAGGAAGATGATGAAAAAGGATCAATAAGTAAAGCCTTTTGCGCAAGTTTCTTCAAGTTTAGCTCTTAATTTTCTCGGCAAGTGCTTGATTCCAATTGGATGGAAATTCTAATGCTTTGTTCAAATATCCAATGGTAACTCATTCGATTTCACTATTTCCCTTGTTTAGAACATTTTTTCTTTCGAACATGTATAACCATTAGAACTTTTTTGATACTTTTCGCAAATAATATGAGTAAACAGGAAAGAAAAGACAAGATGAACAAAATTATTCTAATTTCAATACATGTTCGAAACACGAATCTTCAAAGTTCCAGTGCGAAAATTTGTTGAATCGCTTGTACGTATATTGGATTTACCGTTATTCTGTTCAAGAAGAAGGAGAAATAAAAAATGGTCGACAATTTTTACTCTGAATCTTTTTTTCTGTATCACAATCGACATGAAATCAATGTTTTCCCTCATGTTTGGATCAATAATCATGCAATTAAACTAATTCTGAAGATAATGATTATCATTATTATTATGATGCTAATGGTTAACAATAATAATAACTAAATTGCAACAATTGATTCAATGATCAATGATTTTGTTTTTCAGATATACAAATGTTGCAATTGTAGGTTAGGTTTTCATCTGCAAACACGCAAACGATTTTGCCTTTAAATTGTAAATAATCAACAAAACTTTTTCCAACAATAAGAGACAATTGTGTCTCTTTTTCTTGTTGATTAACTTAATTGTTTACCTATTGATTTAATTTATTTGAATTTCAATATGTATAGAGAACTAGAGTTTACTGATTTAATTAACTATTGTAACTGTTTAGCTACTGGAAATGTTTAACTCTTAATTGTTATCATTGATTTTTGTTCAATTTTCTGTAATAAGGTTTCCCAAAGAGGAAGATTTATTTTGGTTTTATTCGCGTTTCTGTCTTCATATTTTACTCAAAATCAAATCAACTCAAGGCAAGATTAACATGATTAGGGTGATTATGATGAGAAGTAGGAAGAGGAAGGAGGATGAGAGAAGATGGAAGAGGCAAAATGAATAGATGGGAATTAAGTAACTCTCTCTCTGTATTCTAAGGTATATCCACTTAAAAGATGAACAGAAAATCATCATTTACTTTTTTCTACCTCCATTAAATTTCTTTATTGACGATCTCCCTCTCTCTCTCTCTCTCACTCACTATTTCTCATCCTCATCTCTTGATACTCCAACGTCATTATACTGATGATTCAAGTCTTTTTTATTACACTTACCATCATCATCTTTACCATGATGCTTTTTCATGAGACGTTTTTTTCATCTCTCAACAAGATGAATCCATTTTTTTTTTCATCTTCAGTCTCAACATGTATGATGATGATTTTGCTTCGTTCTCATTTTCATGAGCCTGCTCAGTTTTCATTGTCATCATTATCCATGTTATCTTCATCTTTTTCATCTCTTCGTCTTCTTGATAAATCTGGCTTCTTATAACTAATACTTTCTAATACTGTGGGTGAAAGTGACGGTGGTGCTGCTGAGATAGGATTATATTTCTCATCCTTATCAGATTCTTTTCGAGGTGACCTTCTCTTCGCCATTTTTGTTTCTTCTTTCACTTTTCTTCTCCATTTCTCTCTCTCTCTTTCATCATCATCTCTCACCCACTGATTATCCATTTGTAGCATAACAAGACCAGCATGACAATTTCAATTGATGAGAGATGATTTTTTTTATTCATCCTCATCCTCATCCTCATCTTGCTTCTGATTCTGTTCAATGTCATGAAACAATATCCAAGAGAAGAAGATAAATCTTCTCTTCCTCCCCCTTCTACTCCACTTTCATCTTTCTCTCTCTCTCATCATATTGACTAAATAGTAAACACTATCATAGCATGATGATGATGATGAAAATGAAGATGATGCTTATTATCATCTCTTTTATCTTTCAGCCATTTATTGGATTCCTTTTTATGATAACTTATATATTTTCTCATCTTTATCTCTTTGTCTATTGCAACTCTTTCATCTTTATCATCTTTATCATCTTACTTTCATTTATCTTCACTGTCTTTCCTCTTTATCATTGTCCATTTATTATCGAGGTCATTCATTTAAACGGTCATTTTCAATGTCCAGCTAATATTTTATTGAATTAACTCACAAACAATCAACAATAACAACAACAAGATTAAACCAGCATTAAGTCAAGATGATAATGATAATAACTGATTAAAATGCTTTAATCTCAACTTGTCCTTTGTAATGAAAAACATTGCTCTCTCTCTCTCTCTCTCTCTCTCTCTCTCTCTCTCTCTCTCTCTCCAGAAAACTGACCTTTTCAAAGACAGAAAGTTAATATATCCGCTTTCCCTTTCAATCCAATGGTCACAGTCAGAAAAAGTGAAACAGTTAAGGTTTGACCTTCTCCTCCCTCGAAACTATTTAACAGTAAAAGTAAATGACCAGTCAAACTGACCAGTCAATATTATTACCAACCATTACTTTCACTATTCACATTAATCAGATACCAAAGTGCATGTTTGTCCAGTGTCCATCTCTCTCTCTCTCTTAACCCCTTCCCACCCACCTATTCATCCACTCTCTCGAACTCGTTATTATCACTATTATTATCATGATCTCTCATTTAAAATACATTTAACTCTTCATCTTCCCATCACCATCTTTCATCGTCTATCTTTCTCTTTCTCTTTCTCTTACTTTTACTTTCATATCATCATCATTACTAAGTGACCCTTTAAATCAATAATCACTTTCAATTCTTGACCAAATCGCCATTAAATCTCCCTCAAAACAATTTCTCAGCAATCTAATCAATTTAAACTAATGTGCATCATCCTCATCTCGTCATCATCAGAATCAAAATAGATGAAGATATTATGTTTATCTCTCTCTCTCTTTGAAAGCCAGACAAGCACATGCTAAAGATGAGGCAAGATGATGATGCAAAAAAAGAGATGAAGATAATTTTTGGAAGAGAAAAAATTTCTAATGAATCCAAGTTGTTGTTGTTGGTGTGTTAATGAATTTTAAGTTTTTTTTCATGAAAAAAAACATACATAAACCAACAAAGATCACGATGATGCTTATGATGAAAAGGCAATCTCATCATCCGTTATCATCAACAGTATCATAATCAACATCATCATTGGTGATTTATTTTTAAATCATTCATATAATACATTGTAAGTCTCCGAAGTGGATGATCAAGTGAAATGAGGTTATTACTTTTCGGAGGAGGTTAAGTGGAGAGGGCAACTTGCTGAAGGTGGGGTGGGAAGAGGGAGAGGATGATGATGATGATGATGTGGTAAGCAGTTTGTATATTATCATCAAGAGTAACATTAATTATTGATGATATTACATCGTCATAACTGTCAACAAGATGAGCATGAAAATGTGTCTTTATGTTGAAATTTTGCTCTTTCACCTCAATTGTAACATTATTGTCATTTGATTGTTAACAAATGATTTAAATGATAAGATGATTAGATAGATTCATTTGCAACAATTGGCTCATCTTAAATTGTTATCAAAATTGTTGATTGATTGTTAACAATTAACTTTGATTACTTGGGTGTTGATTCAAGTTATTGATCAATTTACTTGTTTGATGCTTCCTAATTTTTTTTTGGCAACTTGATGATATTAATTCACACAAATTACAATTAAAAACACCAATAATTAACTCACTAATTGTGAGGATATATTAACAATACCAAGTGAACAATCAAATCAATTAGTTAATTGTTTGGTTGTGGTTTTTAACACAAACTTTGTGGTTGATAAAGTTGACAGTTTGTTTTTTTTGCTTGGTGTTTGTTTGCTTACAGTAAAGGCAGAAAAAGTTGATTGTTTGTTAATTGTTACTGTTGATTTGATGCCAATTGTTGTTAAATTGTTTACTTTTGTCAATATTGCACATTGGCACTTTGTTTTTCATAACCATTCA